GTGTTCATAAATTTGTTCATAATAACGAGTTAAGAATTATGTTTAATTAAAGTTATCGAACTACAATTTCTAAACAATAATTTAGCAGAAAACAATGTTAGTTCCCATTTGCAGTTTGTTTTATAAATGAAACATTGCAAGAATTACAAAATAATAACACTCCTTATGATTTCAAACAAATTACAGATTATTATACATTACTTAATACTGAGGCACGTAGACGAAGAAACCTTTGTTCTAATTGCCACGATTCAGTGAACTTCTAACATGTTTTACAGCTCGCGCAAACACATTCGAAACAACGAATTCACTTACAGCGACATGAAATATTTCAATTCGACTACAAGTGGATTCACACTTCAAATTTAATAATTGGAATTTGATTTAAATCGACAGAAATGAAGTCGAATAAATCTAGATGTATATTATATTTTCTGCAATTGAATTTTTCTTTGGCGATGCAGAGCCAATACTTACAAAACCAATAGAATTGAATCATTTTCATCTTGAACGCATTTATTTACAGTATTTCATATTGGGTGAAACATCATTACTATTATAATTTTCAATGCTTTTGAAATGTCACTTTTATAATCCTTACAATTTGCAATATTGTAAAATGGTATTTTAACTATAACAAATAATTTAAAGTAGATATTTTCTGTAAAATTGATACTTATTTGCTTAATTTTGTCATAATCATTTACGAAGAGTCGCATAATCCATGCCATTTGAAATGGATTATTGTGAAAAATGCTTAGGGTAGGGCAAAGCACAAAGGTCCAATTTGACTTTGAGCTATTATTGTAAAAACCAAACCAATTATATCATAACAAATAACACATATCAAAAAACAACTATCTGACTATGTTCTGTAAAACTCCCAGCTAATTCATTATTGTAGGAAAGTGTTTTTCGCGGATTTTCAAAAATACATCATCTGGTCCTTTTTACCCTATAGGCGGAGTAAAATGAGACGGCCAGGAGATAAACAAGTCCAATGTCTTATTTTTAATTTTGATGGAATTTTACGAAATAATAGCTACACTATTCAACGCAAAATACACTATTCAATGCAAAATATGAATTTCATTGGTACATTTTTTCTGAACAGAGATATTAGTGCATATAACCTTGATCTAATATTTTGTCAGATATAATAATCAGCAAAGTTGGAATAACTATTTATTTAACTTATCTCTATTAAAATGTTTTTTTTTTAAATAATTTACTTATTTATTTATTATTCTTCATTTTTACACCTTTGAAGGGTAAAGGTTCAGTTGGACCTTTTTATCCCACTCACTGTGAGCTTTCATAAATGTTATATAAAAAAAACTAATGAATCTAACTCACAATTAACAATACATCTGAGATAAAAATTATATTAAGGTCCCGTAAACTAAACAACAGTGCTAACAACAACAAAAAACTAATAATAAAAGAAAATACTTTTGTTATAAATTTTCATTGCTGTTTACCTTCCTATAGGGACGTCGTAGGAATTAAGGTGGTGGTTGGTTATACATCTTTTTCCCTCCACTTTCAAATATTGTTGTTGAAAATGTAACTTTACTTGTTTTTGAGATATCGGTGGTGATTTTTAGTTTTTCTTTTGAATTTACATTATGGCAGTGTAGATCACATTAAAAATAAGTTTTGTCAACTGAAATTAAGTACAATACCCAACGTACACGTGTAGATATAATTACGGCGAGAAAGTGTGAAATATTAAATAATTGAACTGATGTTACAACACGTCGAGCGTTGAAGGTAACGGAAGGTATAACTGTAAGGTACAGCAAGTAATATTCTTTACGAATAAAATAAATAAATTTATTTAAATACGTAAAATACATACATGCATACATACATACATATATATATATATATATATATATATATATATATATAATATTTATCCATATTAACATGCACACCTAGCCCATGCATGTAGTACATGTTCATAGGTGCGATAGTATAATCGAGATAATCCACCAAAAACCAGAATTCTTATTTTATCGTAGATAAATCTAAAGATTTTGGCAAAAGAATCAAAAACAATTAGAATCGTTCCAGTTAAAAATTAATTAAGAAGAACTTTCTCGTATATATTCAAGTCAAAATTTATACATATATTATGAATTCATTACATAGTCAGCTAATTAATTTATATGTACATCTAGAATATATCGCAAATAAACTGATCTCATATAAATGGATATTATTATGTATAATGAAAAAAAATCCAAAAATATTTTAACTACAAACTAGAATTTCAACGTTTATTATATTTTTTTTCTTCATTTATCTATTATATAATGAGCAAACTATATTTGTGTTTACCAAATCTATAGGTTACATATTTAGACATCGCATGTTTTTTTCGCACGCGATTATATTCGATCAAACAATTTTATAAATATAAAAACCTAAGAAATAGAATAACTATATTCTAATAGTAGTTCTTTGTAGTTATTTTTAGAAAAAAACTAGTTGTATGTAACAAATTATATTGTTTGCTCCAAATCCAAATCAGTATCAGTATACCTCAATTAAAGTTAGCAATGAAATATAAATCATTTCTTTAGTAGAATGTAAAAAATCTAGAGTTCAATAATTGGTATCATAATTATATTAATGAAACTATAAAACTGCCAAAATGTGAAAAATGTAAAAATAGTGAACCGAATATAGTGTCAATTTTAAAGAGAAGATGAAACAAAATTTAATTAGTAGTAGTCTTTAAAAGAAACCCTGCGCCCAATTTATAATAGACCTCTTCAAAAATTATGTGTATGTTATTGTAAGAATTTATAAGTATGAATATATAATTGCTTTTCGGTTCTTAAAACAATTTCAAAAGATCAAAAACCACATGAAAATTTCGCTTATATATTTTCCAATAAAACAAGTTGAAGATTTAAAAGTTGTGAAGTTAAAATATTTCATCTATCAAATAAAGATTGCTTATATTTGAATTAATTGTGTTTTACAAATAAGCTCATGGTATTTTAAATTATATGACATAATTCAAGTCAAGTAAGACTATTTATCTATTTGAGATTCTGTTTTTTATATGCAGAGAGTTAGGCAAGGTAAAATAATTAAATATTCTAGAAACGTAGTAGTGAAACTGAAAATGTAAACAAATTCTAAACTTTAAAATGAAGTATTGGATATATATATATATATATATATATATATATATATATATATATATATATACATAACACTAGCAATAAAAATAATGAATAGTAATAAAAACGACTGATCGTATATTTTTTCAATGCCTCTTGGCGCATCTTACATGAGAAATCCAACAAGATTATTACTTGACGGTAACTATTATATATTAATTAAGTCTCGTTAAGAATTTTTCCGATGTTTCTTTATAGCTCTGTTGTGCATGTGTTTTTTTATTTGACAAGTAAATGAATATAACATTAATTAATATAACATTATTTTGAAGAACCATAGATGTTATTGAAATACAAATATGATATATATTCCAAGTTTGTATTATATAATTTGGTGGTTGTTATATTTTTTGATATCTCTATAATTTCTTGTAAATTTAACAAAGTTATCAAAATTAGTAATTAAAATCATGTTTAGTTAATGTTGCGAATATTTCAAATATATCCAATTGTATATATGATATGAAATTACATAAAAAAAACTTGCAGAGTTGAAAATTAACCCTTTCCACTCGTATGCCGCCGCGGAAAAATTCATATAAATCTCGGAATTAGTAAGTGGAAATGGTTAAAAAATAAATTTCTGATTTCTGCAGTTGTCTGATGCAATTGAAACAAATTTCAAATTATCACGAAAACATTTCTGTTAATAGAAATAGAATTTGATATGAATTACTTCTAAAGCAAAAACCTAACAGAGTTTAATTATTTCCTAACAATATTTCCTTGTAAGTATTTTCAATAACCGCATGATTTTCACATAAATAAATAAATAAAATGCAACTTAACACAACAAACATAATGTTTGATTTGGTATGGAAATAACAATTTCAAAAAGGACCTATAAAAATAGTAACGTTTGGTTCTCTGCCACATTGTTTTGATTCTAATTAATTTATCCTACTTTTTTCCGAAAGTAAGAATTAATATATATATATATATATATATATATATATATATAATTTAATCTTACAGGAAAACATTACCTTAGAACAAGAAAACATTACCTCGTATAAGCTTGCCGTATGTAATATATACGAAAAAAAAATTAAATAGAAAAATTAATAGTATGTAATAGAAAGAAGTGAGAAACATGTAAACATGTAATCTAAAACTTCTGAGAACTCTAAAAATAAGATCGTTGTACAAATTACCCTTACCGAAACTGTTAATACAACATATGTGCGGAATATTGACAGTACCTAAATAACCTTCCCAGGTAGCAATTGCACAAAACAGGTAAAAGTTTCCTTACAAAATTATATCGTAAGTTGAAAGGTTCTAAAAATACTGGGTAAAAGCATTTAAGACTTTTTTGCACAAGTAATAAATTTTATGGAATGCACTAAAAATAATAATCGTTATTTCGTTTTATAGTTTGCGCTTCAAAAATTCTTAACTTTCACTGGAATTAGACATAAATTTTTTGTAATGCATCTTCAATAAAATTGTTGATTTCGCAGCATTGAAATGGTATATTAACGAATATTAGTATAACAAATTAGTATAACAAATTGGAGCCAATACTGATAAATAAACAATAAATCGATGAAAAAGAAATCGAGCATATTAATGCATTTAAGTAACTAATAAAAATGAATTTGCATTTTACAATTTAAAATATAAAGCTCAGTGAAAAATATCTAATAAAATTTACTGATATATTAAATATTTATTATTAATTAGTATTACGAGTATGTAATTTTATACTTTGAGAAATAATAAAAAATAGCGGTTTAAGGACTTCCTTTGTTTCTCAAAAATTAAATTTATAAAATTGATAATTATCTTTGAACTTACCTCACAGCTACTCTAACACAACTATCCTCGTCTCCCATTTTGAATCTGAAAGAAATAATTTTGTTCATTAAAAAATAGATAAAAATATTTTTAACCAACATACCAGAAATTCTTATAAACAATTTTATAAAGAATGTTGATTGAAAATAAATAAAAAATAAATTGACAAAAAATTGTATTCCCAAAATAAGTTAATTGTTCGTTATTTCATTCAAT